GAGAGATGTTATCACGGCTTGGCCAGTCAAACATCCGAAGCCCGCAAAACCCGGAAGGAAGACGGGTTGAAGATGGAAGCCTCTGCAGCAGTAACAGCGTGCCGCTGGAGGGTTTTGTTTTTAGGCAAGTCCTTCATAAACATGCGGTTTACTTCTGTTTTAAAGTGGTCAACAAAACTGGTCAAGTCACTGATCAAATACTCTGACAAACTTTTTTTTCTAAATTTCCATACAAAACATTCGAACAAAATTCTACCATGCCTGGCCAGCCTTTGGAGATTTTCACAACAGCTAAAGTACGTGTTTGAGGCCAAATTCAAGAAAATTATATTTCAAGCGCATCGACTAAGAAGGAGCTGAAGGAAAAGAACTCATAACTGAGGGTTTAATACTAAAGTCTGAACCTCAGATCTTCTAGCCATTGGTGGTCAAAGCTTCGTGGTCTTATCAGATAGAAATTGTTTGCAAAATTCTTACCGTCCTTCGATGGGAGATGATCCAACCTAAGTGAAGTTAATTTGTCCGGAAGCGAAAGTGAACTTTAGCTCACTGACTGTCTTAGAAAAAAGTCCCATCCAGCTGACACATCCTCCCAGCCTCAGTACACAATGAGTTCTTCCAGTTGTGGTACATTCTGCACTCTCCCTTTTATTTCCAGGTTCCCCCCCCCCCTCCCCTCCTATCCTGGAGGAAACCACAACGAGGCTTGGAATGCTTACATCTTGTTCAGCTTTCCTGTAGGACTAGGAAGAGAGGAGAGAGCGAAGAAGGCGCTCATGTGGAGCCATCATGTCTAATAATAATAATTACGACGTAGATCAGAAATGTTCGATTTTTGAGAAATAAGGAAAAGGAAAAAAAAAACCTCTAAAAAGAAAATGTAGCAAATCAAAACTAAATAATAAACAGTGCGTAAATAAGTCAGCTGATCTGCATAATTGATTAGTGAGTTCCTGTGCCAGGACAGAGGGTCTGGAGGTAGGGGGTCTTTCTTGGCAAGGAAAATTGTATTTCGTATATCACCTGTAACTAGTTCCAGTCCGGGCCAATGCTGACATTTATCTCAGACATGGAAAAATGTATATTTTTTGTAAGAAGATTACTTAAAACCCCCTAAATTATAAATATATATTTAAGCAGAGAATAAAATAGCTGTTTTTGCAATTTTTTATGTCACACGATATTTGCTCAGTGCACCAAGCGCCAATTTTCAGCTTTCAGCGCTATCACACTTTGAATGATAATTGCGCGGTCATGCGATACTGTACCCACATGAATTTTTTAGCATTTTTTTTGAGACAGATAAAACTTTATTTTGGTGGTATTTATTCACCACTGGGATTTTTATTTATTTTGCTATATAAATGAAAAAGTCCAAACATTTAAAAAAAAAGTGTTTTTTTAATAAAATTTTTGTAAATTGCTAATCTTTCTTCATAAATCTTGGCCAAAATGCATGAAATACAAAATGTATGTATGTAATATTCTTCCGAAACATATTGACATATATTTGAACTGCTACAATTTTGGCCTTTTCAATATATTTCAAAATATTTTTTTCAATATATATATGTACATGTATGTTGAAATGCATTTTTATTACAAAATATATGAAAAATATTTTTAAAAATAAATTTTCAAATACAGTGTATGTCTTTAAAAATACATTTAATCTACATTTTTGGAACGCATTTGCAAATATATGTAAAAATATATGTTAAAAGGACTTTTTTATATGTTAAAAAAATCTGAAGAATATATTTTAAAATATATATTTTAAAAAAATATTTTTCATATATATTTTGTAATATATAAAAAATGCATTTCAACATGCAGTGTGTGTATATATATTTATTTATTTCAGGTACTTATATAGCGCCGTCAATTTACGCAGCGCTTTACATATATATTGTACATTCACATCAGTCCCTAACCCTCAAGGGGCGTACAATCTGAGGTCCTTAACTAACATTCATACAGACACATACTAGGGACAATTTAGAGAGGATGAAATTAACCTCCCAGCATGTCTTTGGAGTGTGGAAGGAAACCAGAATACCCAGAGGGAAACCCCACGCAGGCACAGGGAGAACATGCAAACTCCAGGCAGGTGGTGCCGTGGTTGGGATTTGAACCAGCAACCCTAGTGCTCTTGGTGGAAGTGCTAACCACTTATCCATTGTGCTGCCCTTCGACATGATAGTAAAGGCAGATTACAAAAAAAAAATGTAATACTTACCACCTTTGTGCAGTGATTTTGCACAGAGCAACCCCAAGCCTCCCTTCTCGATGCTCCGGATCCCGCCAAGTTCCCCCAAAGCAAACAGCTTGCTATGGGGGCACCTGAAATGGCTCTCACAAGCCACTCATCTGTGTGTCAGTTCACACAGAGAGCAGCTTGCACCCCCCCCTCCCGCGTTCTATCCTCATTGGCTCACTGGCTGGTGATTGACAGCATCAGGAGCCAATGGCAGCTGCCTTCTCAGCCAATAAGGAGGGAAAGACCAGGGAGGGTCAGTGCTCTCATGCACTTTGCTGGATCGAGAGGGGGTTCAGGTAAGTATTGGGGGGGGGGGGGGGCTGCTGCACACAGAAGATTTTTTTTACCTTTCATACATAGAATACATGAGGTTTAAGAAAAAATATTGGGCCTTTAGAACCATTTTAATGAATTTCAGTGAAACACAAACACAATATAATACCCAATTTCTGTCAAAAACATAAATGTTATGGTGAGTTAATAGATACCTAACATGTCATGCTCTAAAATTGCATACACCCGTGGAACAGCGCCAAACTATGGCACCTAAAAATCTCCATAGGTGACATTTTAAAAGCCGTTACAGGTTTCAACTTACACAAAGAATGATTGCTCTCGCTCTGGTGTTCACGGCGATATCTTCATGTGTGGTGCAATTGCCAGTTACATATGAGTGTGGGACCAATGCCCACTCTAGCCTTTATGCATAATCATTGGGGGGATGGGGGGGGCACTTTAATTTTTAATTTTTTTTTTTATAGATCAACTTTATTGCTATCACAAGGGATGAACAACATCCCTTGTGGTAGCTACGGGACATGACAGGTCCTCTTTATGGAGAAATCTGGGGTCTGTTAGACCCCATATGCCTCCTCTGCCCTCCAAAGCCTCAGATCCAACTGAGTTCAGTTTGATCAGATGCTTTCACAAGCTTGTAAAGGCTTCACCAAATCCTCGTTGCTTCTGGTTTCTGGCATCACACAGTAAGGAGGAGCAGCATCAGTTCTCACTGTGTACAGGGAAGCCAATGCCGCCAGCCGCATGCTTACTGAGCTCCCTGATTGGACAGGAGAGCCCCGGTAAAGTAGCAGTGGAGGGACCCCCTTCAGCCGCCTGTAAAAGTAATCCAGCGGCTGTAAAGCTGCTAGGATTACTATTGCCTAAGAAAGAATTGACTGTTGAAAAGAACAATACCAGGATCATGGCTGGTACCTAAAAGAGTTGCACCTCTAGTCTACTGGGGCAATTTTTTCCATTTTTTTTGCACACATGTAAAATCTGCATTTTTTTGCTAGAAATAATTTTAAGCCCATAAACAAATGTACATTTTTCTGAAAAGCAGAGAACCTAGAGAATGAAATGAAATTGCTTTACAAAGAAAAAAAAAACAATAGCAAATGACACACAAGAAAAGAACAAAAGAGGAACATTTGGATAAATGTTTTCCGTTTTGATTTGAAACAGTTTTAAAGTGTTACTGAACCCAGATCCTGCATTCACTATATCCGGTCTCCCCGGACCCTGCATTCTCTATATCCGCTCTCCCCGGACCCTGCATTCACTATATCCGGTCTCCCCGGACCCTGCATTCACTATATCCGCTCTCCCTGGACCCTGCATTCACTATATCCGGTCTCCCCGGACCCTGCATTCTCTATATCCGCTCTCCCGGACCCTGCATTCACTATATCCGGTCTCCCCGGACCCTGCATTCTCTATATCCGCTCTCCCCGGACCCTGCATTCACTATATCCGCTCTCCCGGACCCTGCATTCACTATATCCGTCTCCCCCGGACCCTGCATTCTCTATATCCGCTCTCCCCGGACCCTGCATTCACTATATCCGGTCTCCCCGGACCCTGCATTCTCTATATCCGCTCTCCCCGGACCCTGCATTCACTATATCCGCTCTCCCCGGACCCCGCATTCGCTATATCCGCTCTCCCCCGGACCCCGCATTCACTATATCCGCTCTCCCCGGACCCCGCATTCGCTATATCCGCTCTCCCCGGACCCCGCATTCACTATATCTGGTCTCCCCGGACCCTGCATTCACTATATCCCGCTCTCCCCGGACCCTGCATTCACTATATCCACTCTCCCCGGACCCCGCATTCACTATATCCGCTCTCCCCGGACCCCGCATTCACTATATCCGGTCTCTCCGGACCCTGTATTCACTATATCCACTCTCCCCGGACCCTGCATTCATTATATCAGGTCTCCCGGACCCTGCATTCACTATATCTGGTCTCCCGGACCCTGCATTCATTATATCTGGTCTCCCCGGACCCTGCATTCATTATATCTGGTCTCCCGGACCCTTCATTCACTATATCCGCTCTCCCCGGACCCTGCATTCACTATATCCGCTCTCCCGGACCCCGCATTCACTATATCTGGTCTCCTGGACCCTGCATTCACTATATCTGGTCTCCCGGACCCCCATTCATTATATCTGGTCTCCCGGACCCTGCATTCATTATATCTGGTCTCCCCGGACCCCTTCATTCACTATATCCGCTCTCCCGGACCCTGCATTCACTATATCCGGTCTCCCCGGACCCTGCATTCACTATATCCGCTCTCCCTGGACCCTGCATTCACTATATCCGGTCTCCCCGGACCCTGCATTCTCTATATCCGCTCTCCCCGGACCCTGCATTCACTATATCCGGTCTCCCCGGACCCTGCATTCTCTATATCCGCTCTCCCGGACCCTGCATTCACTATATCCGCTCTCCCCGGACCCCCCATTCACTATATCCGCTCTCCCCGGACCCCGCATTCGCTATATCCGCTCTCCCCGGACCCCGCATTCACTATATCCGGTCTCCCCGGACCCTGCATTCACTATATCCGCTCTCCCCGGACCCTGCATTCACTATATCCACTCTCCCCGGACCCGCATTCACTATATCCGCTCTCCCGGACCCCGCATTCACTATATCCGGTCTCTCCGGACCCTGTATTCACTATATCCGCTCTCCCCGGACCCTGCATTCATTATATCAGGTCTCCCCGGACCCTGCATTCACTATATCTGGTCTCCCGGACCCTGCATTCATTATATCTGGTCTCCCGGACCCTGCATTCATTATATCTGGTCTCCCCGGACCCTTCATTCACTATATCCGCTCTCCCCGGACCCTGCATTCACTATATCCGCTCTCCCCGGACCCCGCATTCACTATATCTGGTCTCCTGGACCCTGCATTCACTATATCTGGTCTCCCGGACCCCGCATTCATTATATCTGGTCTCCCCGGACCCTGCATTCATTATATCTGGTCTCCCCGGACCCTTCATTCACTATATCCGCTCTCCCCGGACCCTGCATTCACTATATTCGGTCTCCCCAGACCCCGCATTCACTATATCTGGTCTCTCCCCGGACCCTGCATTCACTACATCTGGTCCCCCACAGTACACACAAATAAATATAAACTGCTAAATGCTTTTTTCTCATCAGCGTATATAGCAGTCTTGTGACTTCTATCAGTGTCCAGCAGAGCAGTGCTTAAAGCTTGTAAGATGAGTTTTCTTTCTGCTCTAGGAGGATGCAGAACACCTGACCTCTGTCTGGACAGTGCTGATTGGCCCTTTGCTGATCACATGCACTCTCCCAAAAAAAAAAAAAACCTCCCTAGCAATACACACCAAAGTGAGCATGTGCAAAGCGTCTCTACACAATATGTCTGATCAGGAGATAAGAGGGGGGACACTGGAAGAAGGGAAGGATCAGAGAAGACAGGATCAAACAGCATTTTTACACAATGCAGAGGATTAACCCCTTAGGTTCCACAGTGAGTATAACAAGCATGCTTTACTGCATCTACAGACTGATTGTACTGTTGTGGGTTTAGTAACACTTTAACCCCTTGCCTACCGGGCGCTGTCACTCCCGTCCTGCCCAGGCCATTTTTCAGCTTTTAGTGCTGTTGTACTTTGAATGACAATTGCGCGGTCATGCAACACTGTACCCATATGAAATTGTTATATTTTGTTTCACACAAATAGAACTTTCCTTTGGTGGTATATTATCACCACTGGGGGGGGGGGGGTTGCACTATAAACAACAACAAAAAAGAGCAAGAAATCTGGAAAAAAAAAAAAGTTTTTCTTTGTTTCTATAATAAAATTTAGCAAATAGGTAGTTTTTTCTCATTCACTGATGTGCAGCACTGATGGGCACTGATAGGCAGCACTGATGGGCAATGATGAGGTGGCACAGATAGGTAGCACTGATGAGCACTGATAGGTTGCACTGATGAGGTGGCACTGATGATGCTGCACTGATATGCAGCACTGATGGGCACTGATAGGCGACACTGATGGGCACTGATAGGTTGCACTGATGAAGCTGCACTGATATGCATCACTGATGTGCACTGATAGGCGACACTGATGGGCACTGATAGGTTGCACTGACTGGCGGCACTGACTGGCGGCACTGATGGGTTCAACTGCTGGGCGGCACTACTGGGAAGCACTGATGGGTGGCACTGCTGTGTACTGATGGGCACTGGTTAGTGGCACTGGTGGGTGGCACTTCTGGGCACTGATGGGTGGCATTGCTGGGCACTGATGGGTGGCATTGCTGGGCACTAATGATCAGTGCAGATCTCTTCTGTCACACTGTTACAACTTGAGGAAAGTTTAGTCGATAACCGGCAACTGTATTTACTTTGTGATCTGCTGTGTCATTGGACACGGCTGATCACGTGGTAAAAGGCCGCTGTGATTGGCCTTTTACCTAGTCATGTGATCAGCTGTGTCCTTAGGACACAGCAATCACTGACCGCGCCGGGGTGCACGCCGCTTGGGGCGCATTCTTGGAGGACATCATATGACGCCCGCCCTCCCAGAACTGGACAATCGCGCTGTAGCCGTCATTCATCTATAGCGCGGCTGTAAAGTGGTTAAACAGCTTGCCGGCGAGACCAAGAAGTGAGAGGGGAGAGCCGCTGCAGACGGGCACAGTGCTGGATCGAGTGAGGACTCAACAAAGTATTAGGGGGCATGAGGGGGACAATATTACTACCTAAACATTTTTTTACCGTAATGCAGGGAATGCGTTAAGGTACAAAATTATCCGGCTTTAGAACCGCTTTAAGGTGCACCAAAATATAGCATAATGCTAGAGGAACTGACTTGGACACGAGCGCCTGTTTAGCAGTTCCTGTCCTTACTTTTGAATTGCAGGAATCCTTCTTCCATCATCAATAATAATACATTTTAGGTAAATTCTTAGGCATATTAGGGTGTTAGCAAAGACCACTTAGATAGATCGTGCAATCAACATTCCAAAAAAACTGTGCTAATACTCAAAACTAGCTCTCTTTGGGTCACAGTGACCCTTCCACAGGATGTACCTAAAGCAAAGGCACAGATTGCCAAAACAGGGAAAGAAGGAAAAGAAAACAAGAGTTGGACCAAAGTATGCTAAAAGCTAATATCCATTTTGTATAATAGTTTAGGCCGTACTCTGGATGTCCATTACACCTTTCTCAATACCCAACTGCAAACAATGGGCAGCACACCAATGAAGTCACAAAAATCTACCAGCTTTAATGATGGACAGCACACATTGCATCCTTCCAGCTTACATCCACCATTTTAACCCCATTAGTCGTAGAGCCCAGGTTGGGTGAAACACATTAGAGTGGTGGACCTAAGGTGGAAGGATGCAGTGTGTGCTATCCATCATTAGAGTGGTGGACCTAAGGTGGGCCTAAGGTGGAAGGATGCAGTGTGTGCTATCCATCATTAGAGTGGTGGGCCTAAGGTGGAAGGATGCAGTGGGTGTTATCCATCATTAGAGTGGTGGACCTAAGGTAGAGCCAAGGTGGAAGGATGCAGTGTGTGCTATCCATCATTAGAGTGGTGGACCTAAGGTAGAGCCAAGGTGGAACGATGCAGTGTGTGCTATCCATCATTAGAGTGGTGGACCTAAGGTAGAGCCAAGGTGGAAGGATGCAGTGTGTGCTATCCGTAATTAGAGTGGTGGACCTAAGGTGGAAGGATGCAGTGTGTGCTATCCATCATTAGAGTAGTGGACCTAAGGTGTACCCAAGGTGGAAGGATGCAGTGGGTGCTATCCATCATTAGAGTGGTGGACCTAAGGTGGAAGGATGCAGTGTGTGTGCTATCCATCATTAGAGTAGTGGACCTAAGGTGTACCCAAGGTGGAAGGATGCAGTGTGTGCTATCCATCATTAGAGTAGTGGACCTAAGGTGTACCCAAGAGGTGGAAGGATGCAGTTTGTGCTATCCATCATTAGAGTGGTGGATCTAAGGTAGACCCAAGGTGGAAGGATCCAGTGTGTGCTATCCGTAATGAGAGTGGTGGACCTCAGGTGGAAGGATGCAGTGTGTGCTATCCATCATTAGAGTGGTGGGCCTAAGGTAGAACAATACAGTGTGTGCTATCCGTAATTAGAACAATACAGTGTGTGCTATCCAGTGTGGTAAGTGGACCTAAGGTGGAAGGATGCAGTGTGTGCTATCCATCATTAGAGTAGTGGACCCAAGGTGGACCTAAGGTGGAACGATGCAGTGTGTACTGTTTATTATTAAATTTGTTGTATTTTTGTGAAGTCATTGGTGTGTGGCCCAAAGTTCTCCCTTACATCAGAGTTCACACAGTTCCCCTTTACATCAGAGTCTGCAGTGATCCCCCTTACAGTGTAAGGGTAAACTCTTGTTGTGTCAAGTTACGGGGTCCCCAAATGAGACCTTTCAGATGAGATAGTGTCCAAATTGTTAAAGAAAGGTGCATTCATTACACCGCAGTGGAGATAATATAGTATACAGAAGTTCACCTTCGTGTGAGGAGGACCAAGGTAATCAATATATCTAAACTCTTAATCTTTAAACTGAAATATATATATATAGTCATAAAGTCCAGGCGTGCCGTAAAGTTTTTGTCCAATCAGATCCTTATATACTTAACAGCAAGTTTAGAATTAAATGGGTGTTAACATCATGTGACTAGTCCAAAACAGAGACTTGTGGTCATCCGCCATGACAGTTGCTGGTTCAAACTGTTTTGACCACAAGGTCAAAGGTTCAACTTTCATTTCCTAGAAAAAAAAAGAACGGGCAAATGCAGTAAAACTCTTAAAAATGACAGTATATATGTTTACAAGAACTTTCATTGTTAGACCCCAAAATATTTCTACTCACTCTGCAGATCCTGATGGAAAGGGGAACTCTGTGGACTTCCCTAAAAAGTCATTCAGTTTGTGTCCATTCAGACAGGCCCTTGCTCTCAGAATAGATATTGCAATTGGATCTCAGAATAGATTGTGCAATCAGATTGCATTGTGTTTGAACCATGGAATAAAAAAAGGAAATGATTGTTTTAGGTAGCACTGGCTCTATCGTTCATAATTTCCGGAGATTTTTATTTTCTAGAAAATGTGCCATGTACAGTATCGGAGGTGTAACACCAGGCAGTGACGTTAGACATGCAGGATGGGCAAGTCACCCCATTGGGCACTGGGCTGTCAGCTGGCACTACGAGGGAAAGAAAGAGAACACCGAATCTGTATTTTAATGATACACACTTGTGATGAGTCATGATAGTTATGAAAGAGTTATGTTTAAAGTTAACTCCACCCCGCGAACACCCCCCCCCCATACATGCTATGCCTTTACACTAGAAATTGGAAAGGTCGAATGCTGCTGAGTCACTGCTGGGAGTAGGAGCAGGGAGAGCTGAGTTGCTGAGTCACTGCTGGGAGTAGGAGCAGGGAGAGCTGAGTTGCTGAGTCACTGCTGGGAGTAGGAGCAGGGAGAGCTGAGTTGCTGAGTCACTGCTGGGAGTAGGAGCAGGGAGAGCTGAGTTGCTGAGTTACTGCTGGGAGTAGGAGCAGGGAGAGCTGAGTTGCTGAGTCACTGCTGGGAGTAGGATCAAGGAGAGCTGAGTTGCTGAGTCACTGCTGGGAGTAAAAGCAGGGATTTCTGAGTTGCTGAGTCACTTCTGGGAGTAGGAGCAGTGAGAGCTGAGTTGCTGAGTCACTGCTGGGAGTAGGAGCAGTGAGAGCTGAGTTGCTGAGTCACTGCTGGGAGTAGGAGAAGGGAGAGCTGAGTTGCTGAGTCACTGCTGGGAGGAGGAGCAGGGAAAGCTGAGTTGCTGAGTCACTGCTGGGGAGTAGGAGCAGGGAGAGCTGAGTCACTGCTGGGAGTAGGAGCAGGAGAGCTGAGTTGCTGAGTCACTGCTGGGAGTAGGAGCAGGGAAAGCTGAGTTGCTGAGTCAGTGCTGGGAGTAGGAGCAGGGAGAGCTGAGTTGCTGAGTCACTGCTGGGAGTCGGAGCAGTGAGAGCTGAGTTGCTGAGTCACTGCTGGGAGAGAGAAGTGGAGGTGCAGAGTCACGGCTGGGAGGGGGAATTGAGCTCCTGAGTAACTGCTAGCAGAAGGAGTTGAGTTTCTAAGTAACTGCTGG